CAAAAATGTTTTTAATGGAAAACTTTGCCGTTAAAAGCATTTCCGGAAAATCATGCCAATCTAGACACAGCTCAGGTGTTTCCAGGTGTTCTCATGTGTGAGGAGTGAAGAGATGATGTCACATCCCACCTTACACAGCTTTTTCATATGGTGGAAACCTTTTGTTTCAAAGTCAGTTTCCAGTCCAGTTTGTGGAAAAATATAGGCACCAAAATGGATTTCAGGACCATATGGTCAGGTCATAGGCCTTTAGTGAGTCACAGCAGCCACTACTCCTGAGCTGGCTGAAACATCAGAGGACAGCTCTAGGCACCAAAATGGATTTCAGGGCCATATGGTCAGGTCATAGGCCTTTAGTGAGTCACAGCAGCCACTACTCCTGAGCTGGCTGAAACATCAGAGGACAGCTCTTCCACGTTCCATTGTCTCTGCTGATGGGGCACCAGCACTATCTGGCTTCTGTATTGTTGTATCTGAAAGGCTAACTGCGGGCATCACCCAAAGTAAGCTCATTTGAAATACAGGTAGCCCTTGAACTTACAATACAATAGGTTCCTGAAAACTGTGTTGTAAGTTGAAATGTAAATCAGAATGGCATTACAATCTATTGTAGGACTGAGCTGAACCATGCCTTTGTGGATCACTACTGAGAATACCAAATTGAGTCCAAACTGCTGAGAATTAGGGCTAATATACCTCAAAATGCTATTGATTATTCTCCCATGATGTATCAAACCAGCCACAAAAATAAACTTATGGTTAACAAGCAGCCATAAAAGCAGTTTTGTGAGATATTCCAGTGGTTTTGGTGGTGATACAAAGACTGGATTTGGAGACGAGTGGTTCTTTACAACCAGTCTTGTCAAATAAACGGTTCTTCTGATCCCAAAGGACCAGCTACATAAGCAGGTCAACATATAACTCAGATCTTACCCCAAAATGATGCTGTTGCCAATCCTTAATATGTAAAATCTAAAGGTTTATTTATAGAAAGAAAGGTGAGAGTTAAAATTGGTCAAGGAATCAAATACATATAACAGTTGCAGAGTTCTTGGTTCAGGCTTATAGAAGTGATGGAGTGAACTGCTGGTTTAAGTCAAGTCTCTGATTACTTTGAAATCATTGGAAGGACCACAGTCCCTTGATTAGAATGTTCTCATTATAAGTTCATAGTCCAGAGGCTTGAGCAGTAGAGAAACTTGAACAGGAAAAGGCAAAATGGAGGCGTTCCATTTCTTCTGTCATGTGGAGGTAATCCCATTGTTCTTACCATGGACAAGTATAGTAACAAGATGTTGTCTAGTCACATGGGCAAATCACTCGTCCATGCATGACAGGTGGAAGCTATTGCCCACATGCTAGTTCGAACGTTCCCAGGAAGGCTCATCAGATGTGGTTGGGCATCTCCAGAAGTCCATTTTAAGTTAAGTTCTCCTTGCTGGGTCATTCAATTTGAATAGTTCCTTAGCAATATGCTGGCCAAATGCTTCATTGATGCGACTCAAAATCAAACACATAACTACAAATATATCTACATATTATCTACAGATTCAGATATAGAAACAATAGATGCATACAAATAGCATAACCAATAGATGCATACAAATCACAACCAGCAAATCATAACCTATCTATAGACACATCACTTGACATCACAACCAGCAAATTATAACCTATCTATAGACACATCACTTGACAACCTTTGTACAAGATTTGTTGCAAATATGTAATAGTAGTTGCAACAATGATCTATAGGGTCATATTTTAAGCAGATAACATCACATGAACCAGGTAAAGTCAAAACCTATGGTCGTAAGTCAAATCAGGGTGTTAATTCAGAAATGTCATAAGTGCCGTTTTTAAGTCGAGCATCATAAAGTTGAGGACTGCCTGCACAGATCCAGTCAATATTCATAACTTCAGATAAAAAAATGATATACACAAATAGGATAATCACATTCAGCAAGTCATAACTTTTCCATAGAAATGTCACAAGACATCTTGTATAAAGTGCAGTATAATTACATTGTAATCAGAATCATACCACTATGAAGACTATAGAGTGCACCTCAAATAGTTCTCTTTATTTTCTCTAAATAATAATAAAAAACCAGCACCTGCTGTTGCTGTTGCACGGCCCCTTCCATTTCCAACAGTTATCACCAGTGCTACCAGAATAATGATGATAAGGGAGGTCTGATTCCCTGCCATTCTTTTTTGTCCCTTCCAGTGTTCCTGTGAAGGCATTTTCTATTAGTGGAAGTGAACCTCAATTTGTGGAGAGAAATCCTGCAAACAAAAAGCTCAAGAATCTTCTTTCAACTGTATAGCCCAACTAAAGATCAAGAGCTAGAGAGAGATGCACAATACCTGAGGGTGAATCTTCTTTGCATTAGTATTTGGCTTTCCGGATACAGGGGATATGTTGGATCCAACAATAGTTGTAGTCTGTATGTTTATGTTTATGGGGTTTTTTTGAAAGAGAGAGTGAGAGTGAACTTATAGTGCCTGCTGTTTCTCAAACTTTAAGAAATTAAGGGTGATATCCTGGCCTGCTTGAAGACAATGGGAAGTTTGTGAGTGCCTTAGGGACAAGATTTCACCCTAGGCTGTATCCAATACACACTGAAGCAATGCAAATGTTTGGGCTCTCCAGGCTAGACTGTTACAATCTGTTCTGAGTAAAGGATGGCACAAACCCAGGGCCCAAGAACATGAATTGTGAGTCAGCACCACAATTCCTTCCCTATTCCCAACTTGCTTTGGGGAACTCTAAGATACTTCATCCTTATGGAGGTATCGTTCCCTCCCCTGTACAATGTGGTATCTCCTGTAGCTGGAAAGTTTGTGGGTGTGGGTGGATGGAGTCAGGACTCCACTCCTTCTCCCCCTTTCCCTGCCTACTTACTGTAGCAGTAGCAGGGAGACATATAGCTTCCTATGCTCCTTTGCACAGGTGAGGAAGGGCTAACCTGGGACAATGTCATTCTTAATGAGCTGAGGTGCAGATTCTGCAAAATGGAAGGATAAAAACCAGAGGGAAAGCAAATAGCCAGTGACAGACATGGCGAGACAGTCATATGCGGGGTAGTTGCAGATGTGTGAGTGCAAGGATATTAGAAAGACAAGATGGGGGAGGACAGTAATATCTTTTAACCAGCCCAACTTCTGTTGTAAAATCTTAGGCTGTGTCTAGACTACATGCCTCTGTCGATGGAAGCATGTAGACTAGACAGATAGGCAAAGGGAAATGAAGCGGCGATTTAAATAATCGCAACTTCATTTAAATTTACATGGCTGCTGTGCTGAGCCGACAAACAGCTGATCAGCTGTTTGTTGGCTCAGCGCGCTAGTCTGGATGCTCCCCTGCTGACATCAAAGCCCTTTGTCGGCAGCCCCATTATGCCTCGCGGGATAAGGTTTACCGGGGCTGCCGACAAAGGGCTTTGATGTCGGCAAGGGAGCGTCCAGACTAGCGCGCTGAGCCAACAAACAGCTGATCAGCTGTTAATCGGCTCAGCGCGGCAGCCATGTAAATTTAAATGAAGCCACGATTATTTTAATCGTGGCTTCATTTCCCTTTTTCGAATACACAAATCTACGTGCCTCCGTTGACGGAAGCATGTAGTTTAGACGTACCCTTAGAGGTTTAGCCATGTTTAGACGGTAACTTTAAAAACAACAAATAGTCCTGTAGCACCTTAGAAACTAACAAAAATATGTATGCATATAGTATCATGAGTTTTTGTGGGAAAAACCCACTTCTACAAGTACCCTTAGTGGAGAGAAAAAAAACTTCTGTTGGGGAGGGACAACAGGTTTTAGGTCACACAGAGCACTCTTTCAGGAGAGACTGTATCATACTTGACTCAGTTCACAGTTCCATGGGATGAGTTATTTAAAATGGGTGCCTGAACCTTATTTAAGAGCAGTAGATAGGCCAGAGCACAAAAAAATAGGTGAAGAAGCTTTTGGTACTGCAGGTGGTCGCTGCTGGCAAGGTATGAGGTACTGCTTGTCATTAAAACCAGGCCCTCAGCAAACATCAGCAGGACGTTTCTTGCAGAGGAGCGGGCCAACACCTTTTTCACGAAATGAAAACAGAACCGAAGAGCCTGTTGCTCTGCGGAACATCTCAGCCACCCGCCCTGCCAGCGTGCGCAGGAAACAAACCCTCTTCTCCTCCCAGTTCCTGGCAGAGACAAACCCCTGGGGCATAAACCCACCTCAGCAGACACGGCAGGAACAATTTGGCCTGGGCCCAGCAGCGCCACATGGCCTTGGCCTCTAGGGGCTGCCCTCGTGCAGACAGGTAATGCTGACGGCGGAGCCCAGCCCGGGAGGGGGGCTGCCCCGCGGGGAGGCAGCCGGGGGCGCTCAGCGCCCCGGGGGCAGGGCACGGTCCTGGGCTGGCCGTGTAAGGAGCCCGCTGCGGCTGCCCCGGCGGGGGGGGGGGGCGGGGGGGGGGGCGCCC